ATCAACTTACTTTCCACAGCACTTCCAACGAGCCAAAAACGTGAGATCATACGAATCCAATCTGCTTGAAAAAGCTTACAAGTGAGAAAATATTCAAGTGAGAAAAACACTCAGAGAGCTCAAAGAGAAAATATTCAAGAGTGTTTAATTCTTCATCATTGAGAGACTTGCTGCATATTGAAGATCCATTCAAGAAGTCTCAAAGTTAGAAAGTCAGTGTAACTTGTTTTTCTACAAACAAGTGAATCAACAGTGTTGGAGAACACTGGACGTGATTAGTGCGGGCTTTGTGATCAAAGCACTAGATCACGGGATACGTCGAAGACGGGGGGAGAGTAGCACGGAGTTGTGAAATCCTGGATTGTCACACGGAGCTGTGAGATCCGAAACAGCAGTGTCGGAGGCACTGGCGTGATTGGTGTGGGCTTGGTGATCAAAGCACCAGATCACGGGATACGTCGACCGGATCGTGGAAGACGGGGGGAAAGTAGCACGGAGCTGTGAAATCCTGGAAAGTAGCACGGAGCTGTGAAATCCGAAGCAGCAGTGTTGGAGGCACTGGGCGTGACTAGATCACGAAAATTCATTGTATCTAGGAACCAAGAAGTGGTGGATATAGTGAATTGCTCTTGGACTATAAGAGCAAGTGGAGTAGGGGGATTACATCACCTCCGAACCACTATAAATTGCCTTGTGTCATTTACTGCTTTATTTACTTACTGCTTATCACGTGATATACTTGACACATTCATCACACACACTTATCTTTATTATTCCGCTGCGTACAAGACTCTAACAATCTAGTTAAGAGTCTTGATCTCTCTGTTGCCTTAGCAATTGTTGTATTCGCGAAAAAGTTTAAAAGTCTATTCACCCCCCCCCCCCCTCTAGACTTTTACCACACCCCCTTTGGGACCAACACAAACAAATGGGCAAATGTGCACACCTAACTAGAAGCAGACATACATGTTAAATTATACACCAGACGAGCACACAAGACCACACAGGAGCACATAGCTAGCAGAAACACACACTCCACGCCCAATGAACAACAAAATAGTACGATATATGTCATGTTTTTCAGAGTAAATTTTCATGCATATTTCTGTATATTTATATTTGAATATTATTCTAATAAATTACAAAAAATTGTTTACGATTCTGTAGTATACTAATCTTTCTGTTGTGTGTTCCTCTTTCTATTTCTTGTATATGTGATTATAAATTGATGTCTGGTTTCTTCATGTGAGCTTGGTTACAATGATGAAGCAATTAACTCCGATCGTTTTGTTTTTCCTTCAATTCAACAAATATTTGTGCAATATAATGAACTCACTTGCTGTTTAAGTAATTTCCAATTACAAGCCAATCTAAATTAATACACTAATTAATACGGAGTAATAGAAAGGACTCGCTGACTTGGGGATCACAACGACAAAATAGTCACACATTCCACATGTGCACACACAGCCTTACTAACATACACACGCCAAGAACGGTAAACCAAACAACACACGGAAGCACACCGAAAGGAAACAACTACATAACATTCAAACAATGTGCACACCCACCTGTCATAAAAGGCACAACCCAACCCCCTACTCCTAAATGCCACAATGAACCGAGGGAAAACTGCATGCCTAAACAAGTGCACACACAATTGTGGAAAAAGGCTCACTCATCCCACACCCATGCCCGATAACAACATCCAGGCTAAACCCATTCAAGGCATAAAAAAAAAAACCCCCAACAAAGGGGGAACTACCACCACACACCCACTCACAACACCACAGATAACAAAGGCACAATAACCCAGCCCAAAAAAACAGACATTGAGGACCCCACACCGCACCACCTAACACCAATAAGCAACATGCTCGAGAAAATGGAGAAGCAAACATGAAAAAGGAAAAATTTAACGTATTAACACCTTGCAAACCAACTTAACAAACACATAAATCATGAAACTAAACTACCTTAGAAACACCCACCAACACCACGAACAATACAAAACACACCATAACCAAAAAAAAAAAAAAAAAAAAAAAAAAACTCCATAGTTTCCGGCCACAAGCACACCTAAAACCCCAACACGATTAAAATAGACATACTGATTGCACATGAAATCGAAACTTAAAAAGGGAAGAAAAAAACACAAAACCCACCTCAAGCAGCGGAAGACGTCGTCTCCGGACGAGGACGCTTGGGGTTCCTCACAACACCACCGGCCATCTGAGACAGAATGCTGGAGAAGAGACGAGAGAACACGATCTGGGCGTCAAACGAAAGAAACAGCGAATCGCGTGGCGTTTGGGGTGAAGGAGTCCAACAATGACAAGTTTGAAAACCCCAGCAACAAAATAGCAGCTTCCAATCTTCCACACACGTAGCAGTACTTAAATGCCCAAAAATACCCCTCCTAGCCTAAAATACACTAGCATCAGCATTAAAAAAAATAACACAAAAAATAAAATAAGAACCGTAAATTAATACAAATCAAGGGCTAAGATTGGTTCTTAAGTTCCTACCTAAAGAGGGGTTCCTATATGATTGTTAATATATATATATATATATATATATATATATATATATATATATATATATATTACAGTTTATATTAGTAACTTCATTTCATTTTTTAATTTCACTTGGTTTAGTTGTTGACAATCTTGTTAAGGAATATATATTTGATATATAGAATCTCTATATATTAGGCAGTTTAGGGTTTTAGGTAGGTAGGACATATCGAAACTTGTTTCCTATTCGTAGTTTTCTGGTACCTATTTATAGGGCTTTGTATTTTCTATCCCTATGAGAGTTTGATATAATATATGACAACACATTAGAATTCACGTTCATAACATGGTATCTGAGCCTTTACGATAATTTTTTTCCGCTCCGTTGTCGTCACGTTTTGACTAGCGCGTGAGCCTCACGTGCCGCCGGCGCGTGAGGCTCCTCCAACGATTGAAAAACGTTTTGGTCAACTTGTTCCTGGGTCGCCTAAGTCTGTTTGTCTTGGTTCTGGACTTAGTTTGGACCATTGCCTTTTGTTCTACGGTCAGTTTGTCTCGTTTTGGTGCTGTCTTGCTTTGTGTTTTAGTGCTGTCTCGTTTTGTGTTTTGGTGTTGTCTTGTTTTGGTCCTATCTTGTTTTGGTGCTGCCTCGGTTTGGTGTTATCTCTCCTTCGTTTTGGTGTTGTCTCTCCTTTTTTGATGCTCGTTGATTGGAGCATGCTTCCCTTTTGTTAGTAAAGATACTTCCCTTTTGCTAGTAAAGAATTTGTGTCCTCCAGTTTGGAGTTTGTCTTCTTTACTTTGTGTGTCCAAGCTTGTTCGGTCCACTTTTGGTTCACCCGAATTTGCGGTATTGGTGGAGTCCAAGCTTCTGGTTCAGGGGAGGGTTCAATCCCAAGCTTGTTCGGTCCACCACGTTGAGTTCACCCAACTGTCCGTAGGTATTGGTGGCGTTCACAGCTTTCGTTTCAGGGGGAGCATCTAATTTCAAGCTTGTTCGATCACTTTGTGTTCACCCATTGTTCGTGGGATTCGTGGCGTTCGAAGCTTTCGTTGGAGGGGGAGTATGAGTATCCAATCTCAAGCTTGTTCGGTCAAATGAGTGTCCTAAATGGACTTGAGTTATTTGTTATTTAGTTATTTTGGGTTATCACTCATTTGTGTAACAAGTTGGGCATTATTAAAATATATGCTCCAACTTGAGGGGGAGTGTTAAGGAATATATATTTGATATATAGAATCTCTATATATTAGGCAGTTTAGGGTTTTAGGTAGGTAGGACATATCGAAACTTGTTTCCTATTCGTAGTTTTCTAGTACCTATTTATAGGGCTTTGTATTTTCTATCCCTATGAGAGTTTGATATAATATATGACAGCACATTAGAATTCACTTTCGTAACATCTAAATGGTTTTATGTGGATGAGTAAGCAATATACATTCAAAGTGCTGGAGGATATATTTATGTGGGAAAATACTAAACAAAAAAAATAGCATTTCTATAAATTAGGAAAACTGGAAAAATACTAAACAAAAAATTAGCCAAAAAATATAAATTCTCGAAGAAAATAAGAAAATTGAAATATTGGAATTGAAAATTTGAAAAAATATAAATTATGAAAATAAAGAGAAGAAAATTATGATTTTTTAATATAATAATTTTTATTCTTTAAATTTTAAATATGTAAATGCTTACATGGACAACATAAGGTTAAGAGAAATGCCACATTAGGCGCCATGTCAGCAGGAAGATAGGGTAACCTGCTAAAAGTTCTAGGTGATTTTTCTTTTCGGGTTTGTGGCTTGATATATACAATATGAAAGTTCATGGCGCGTGATGAATAATCAAATATGGTTCATGGTGCTAGATGACACTTTAGTCAAAATATTATAATATTAACATAATTAAACTTAGTATCATAATATTACAACAATACCTATAAATTTTTGTCACGAGCAAATACTAGTGTACATTATTCTAATAGATAAAGTACATTATTCCAACTTATAAAATTGAAAAACTGTGATCCACACAATAATTATTTGGCAACACAGATCAGACACACCCACGGCACCCAATAATATGATTCTGAAAATTTTAAACTATGAAAGGAGACCCTTTATATTATGGAAAAAGAAGAAGAAAACCCAAAAGAGAAACATCCCTTGCATAATACGGAGTATTGGTTTACCTTTATCCTTAGTTAATTTATAGCAGATGCCAGGTATTAAAGGCACAGAGAGGAACATATGAGTTGCTTGAGTGAGGAGAAAAGATAAAGATGAAAGAATCAAGTTATGAGTGTTGTGCTTCTTCAACATTTTACATGAGTTTCACTCGATCTGCTAGCTTCATAACAGCTGAGTTATGAAGTGAAGTGAAGTATTGGATTCTGAGATTTGAAAAAGTGAAAGCTGGAAGGGGCAAAGATCTGCGACTAAGACTTAGATGTGAGTCCTTAAATATGTGTGTTTGTTTGTAGCATGGATCCACAATACAAAACCCCACATAACAGAACAACAGGAATTCGAGAATCCACAATACAGATGAAAACAACAGAAGCGGAATTAGAGATCATAAACAAGTTGTTTGATGAGTGCATGAACAAAGAATGGAAACAAGTTTCAAGCACTTACTCCACTCATGGCTTTGTTCGTCCAGCGAAGCTCAATAAGTCAGAAGACACGGCTCTGCATTTAGCTATCAACTGTTACAACCCGAGGCATCCATCCAAAGATCATCTGCGGTGCATTAAAGAGATGGTGACTAAGATACCTAATGATGAAGTGTTGTACATCTTAAAATTGAAGAATGACACAGGAGACACCCCTCTTCATCTCGCGGCTCAACTTGGAAACGTTGAAATCTGTACATGTATTCTTACCAAAGTCATGGAACCCCACAAAGCTCATGAACTCATCCGGGAGCGAAATAACTTAAAGCAGACTCCACTTTTCCTGGCAGCTCATCGTGGCACGGTGGATGCATTTCAATTACTTTATGAGGAGATTAAGGCAAGAGAAGATCGAATCTATCTGTGTAGGATGGAAAAGGGGGAAACTATTCTGCACTCTACTTTGTCTTCGGAATACTTGGGTATGTATATATAAACCACTTATTATTAGCACTTAACATATCCATATATATGCTTGGATGTTCGTCTGAAAAGTGAAAACTAGCTAACACTACCTCTCCCCTTCCATTCCTTCATTCCACAGAATTGGCCTATGACATAATTGAAAAATTTCCAGAGCTTGTGAATTATGTGAATGAGGATGGCACATCTCCCCTGGATATTCTAGCCAGGAAGCCACATGTATTCAAGAGCAGCAGCAATCTCGAATCCTATGAGAGCATTATCTACTACTGTAAGAATATACATATATTTGGGAAATTAAATTTAAGCTCACTCACGGCTGGAAATTATGGAATTTCCGACCACCTGAAAGTGATCTTAAATTAAGTCGAAAGCCTTGTTCCGACCACTTTTGGCATCTGAAAAAACCTTTGTTGCTATTTCAGACCACTTTTTGCTTTCGACTTGATTTAAGATCACTTTCAGGTGGTCAGAAATTCCATAATTTCCAGCAGTGACTTGTCAATTGCTTTTCCTACCTTTAATTTAATTGCTTTAAAGTTTTAACTCATCTTTTAATAGGTAGCAATGACCATATAATTATATTCTTCTACTTAAGAAGGCTAGGCTTATCTGATCTTCCATTATATATATTGGGTATTTGTTCTTAGGTACGGACGTTAGACACTTTTACAGACGAATATTTACTGAAGACGATGATCATTTTTCATTCCCGGAAAACTGGAGGACACTTGTGGACTTCTGCGAGCTCATTTGGAATTTCATGAAGAATATTTTGATGGGCATTGGAAATAGTAGATACATACAACTTCTCCTGCATCACTTCTTTACGCTAGCTTAGCTTTATATGGAACCTAACCATGCTAAGCTAGCTTCTTTTCTTTCCAGCTTTTAAAATAACTGCAAAACAAAATAATGATCCAGAGAATCAAGACCGTCAACCTCACGGTATGTAGCTAGACATATTATTATTATATATTGATTTATTGTAAGATGACCCATCCAGCCTTGCTCTATACATATATACATTAATTAAATACTAGCGCAGGCTGCGCAGCATTATTTCAAGTTTCAGGTAACATAAAATATAATAAAGGGACAGATGAAGACGACCAAATGCCTGTAGGAGCATTTCTCAGAATTCGTTACTACACCGTCTACACAGTTATTGTTTTCCTCAAGTTTGTAATCAAATACATGCTCGTCATCATACTGGGAATTGGTAAGTATATATTATATATATATATATATATATATATATATATATATATATATATATATATTTTCCATTTCTTCAATTTTCCAATTGCTTACCGTCACTGCTCTTCACTACATACTATACAATATAATATAATATAATGATGTAAATTTCCTTAGAACAAACCATTTTTTGGTGATTTCTCTAATCTCTCACATTTAATTTTGAAACTGACCAACAAACTGTTGGAAAAAATAGTATAAATTGACATTTTAAGTAGCTATTTTGTGGTATAATTATCAGTGGGATCCACTTCCGATTTGTGTCGGGTCAAAGTGGATTCGGATTCTTCGTAGTGAGACGAACAGATTGATATATTGTATGCTCAAAACGGATAATGGGTGAATGAGATATTGATTCTCAAAGTAGACCCATTTGAGTTGGAAAAATGAAGGTAAAAAGTGAAGCTTTTGTCCCACATTGGTTTTGGAAGTGGATTTGCTCCATTTATACAAGAGCTCTTTAAGATTTATTGAATTGTATAGCATAGAGGTTCTCTCTTACATGCAGGGGGAGGGGGTTGCAAATCAAATCCCAAATTCCAATTTTGAATTCCAGAATTAATCTCCATGTTCAACAGTCAGTTTTTGAAGGTTTTATTTAAATGCCAAAGTAAATGCTATTTACACCACCTTCTCCTATATAAGAAGTAGTAGTAGCAGCAGAGTTTCACACACAATAGAAAAATTATACTTAGCCTAATTGTGTTCAAAGCTTTGCTCTTGTTCGCGGGGTTCTTTGTTTGGGTGCTCAAACACTGAATCGTAGCACGTTTTATCCTGGGAAACCTAGGCTACAACGCTCCTAGCACTTGTGGGATGTAGCAAATAAGGTTTTAAGAAAAAGAACGATTTATTCAACTCGTGCTAACCACTAACCGGATCATCCACCCTTTCCTTCCCAAATATTAGCCCCTTTTTTCCATATAATAATAATCTTTTCGTAGGATTATTATTTTTGGGTTTTCCACCTTATTACCCAACAGTCTTAAAACCTTATCTACCTTGTTTCCTGTTGGTTGTGCTTTGTCTCTAATTTCCTAAATGAAATGGAGAACCCCGTACTGCCTAATCAAGGGGAGGAAAATGTTGTTGAGAACAACAATGGTGGGAATGGCAACAACGTTGCAAATTCCCAAGTACCACCAGTGAACGTTGGTTCACAAGATGGTGGGAGCACCGAGGGATACATCCCTACGATGCAAGTACCTACGGTACCAAGTGATTCGGCTGAAAGACCCGGAGAAGTTCATCGGTAGTGGATCGAACTTCAAAAGGTGGTAACAAAAGATGTTGTTTTACCTGGCAACTCTCGGCTTGGCAAGGTTCTTGACCGAGAAGGTTCCGGAGTTGAAGGAACAAGATGCCCAATCCGTGATGGCGGTTGGCTATTGGAAGGACTCGCACTTCTTTTGCCGAAACTACATCCTAAACGGATTATGTGATGCATTATACGATGTATATCGCAAGATTAGCACAGCGAAAGCGCTGTGGGAAGCCTTGGATCATAAATACCGAAGCGAGGATGCTGGCACAAAGAAATTTGTAGTTGGCCGATTCCTTGATTTCAAAATGGTTGATTCCAAGACCGTGCTAAGTCAGGTAGAAAATTTGAAACTAATCTTCGATGAGATCCGTGACAAAGGTATGGTGCTGAGTGTTGCCGAACGAAAGAATCGTACATTGAAAGATATGATGAATGTGATACTTATAAGTTCGGGCCTACCTCAAGGTATGTGGGGTGAAGCAATTTTGACAAGTAATTACCTTTTAAATAAGGTACCCCGCAAGAAGCTCGATAAGACTCCCTATGAGCTGTGGAACGGTAGGAAACCTTCCTACCAGTACCTGAAAGTGTGGGGGGTATCTTGCCAAAGTGTTGGTGTCAACACCTAAGAAAGTAAAGATAGGTCCTAAGACGGTGGACTGTATCTTCATTAGCTACGCACATAACAGTAGTGCTTATCGGTTCTTAGTACACGAGTCCCATAATCTAGACGTACATAAGAACACAATAATAGAATCAAGAAATGCATCCTTCTTTGAAAATGTATTTCCTTGTAGGTCCAGCGAGGGACTGAGTACGTCAAAATGAACATTTGACGAAACTATAGATAATGTAGTGGGGAATCTGAGAAAGAACTCGAGCTCGAGCCAAGACGTGGTAAGCCGGCGAGAGTTGAAAAATCATTTGGTCCTGATTTTCTAACTTACTTGTTGGAGTATGATTCGGGTACTCTAACTTGTTTATTAGAAAATGAACCCGATGTTCTATCTTGTTTGATAGAAAACGAGCCTCGAACATACGTAGAAGTCGTGACTTCTATGGAAGGACCAATGTGGAAAGAGGCTATTAAAAGTTAAGTGGACTCTATTCTAAAGAATCACACTTGGGAACTTGTTGATCTTCCTCCAGGTAGTAAACCCTTAGGAACCAAGTGGGTCTTTAAAAGGAAGATGAAACCCGATGGTTCCATTGAGAAGTATAAGGCTAGGCTTGTAATCAAGGGTTATAAGCAACGCGAGGGCCTTGATTACTTCGACATGTATTCTCCCGTGACGAGAATAAACTCCATTAGGATGATACTTGCCATAGCCGCGTTACGCAATTTGGAAGTTCATCAAATGGACATTAAAACCGCTTTCCTAAATGGCGAGTTAGATGAGGTGTAATTTTGCATATTCTCTCAATCCAAATAAAGATTTAGTTTCGCTAGCACTTGTATACAGATTGACTGACTTAGATTCTTGTTTAAACAGTCATTCAGACAGAAAGGCAGATAAAGCTTAACGCGGTAGATTAATGCAGAAAGTAAATCAACACATATGATTGTTTACCCAGTTCGATACCGTATGTATCTACATCTGGGGGACGATCACCGATGCGTCCAATCCACTAACTCATAATCCAATGTACAAAGGTAGAGAAAAACAATTTCACCTAAGTGCCCCACACAAGGTCAGTACCCAGTCTACAAAGGTTTAGTGGATTGTTAAGTCGGAGAGCCACGCATTCAGAAGTCCAATGAAATCCCTTCAATTGGAGAGCTAACTCTGATGTAGTCCGCTTCAATGACACAGTCCCACGTTGTTCCCACAATTGAGTGATCTTCGCGTCCTGTAGTTTAAGCAATGTTGATGCTTCTCAAGTTCTTCTACGCAATCACCAAGAACTCATAGTCTTGAGAAGAGGCATGACAACCAGAGATGTATATTCTGTTTAGTATAGAGTGTTGCGCCTTCAATCAATGCAACCCTAACTTCTGAGTTAATAAGAATATATGTACTTCTTTGATTTGGACACTCTCCAAATATATCTCTGATTGTAGATGGTAGGACTTTTTGTGAAGATTTCAAGAAATCTTAAGATTCGGTCCATACCTCTTAAGCTGATTCGCTGATATTCTTTCCAAAACTATCATCTCATAACCGCGTTCCATGTTTTAGAAACTTTCCTTTATCAGATCTTCGGTGGCTTGATCCAGAGGCGCGTCTGTTGGTTGTACTAATCAATCAGTCATCTTCAGGGACAAAACAGACACCAAGCTAAACCCTATCTTAATTTTCCATAATAATACTGCCAATTATATGTTGGGGTTTTTCTCAAAAAAATGCACTAACATGAGAAAATCTATATGGAACAACCCGAAGGGTTTGTGGTTCCGGGCCAAGAAAGGAAAGTGTGTAAGTTGGTTAAATCGCTCTATGATTTGAAACAAGCGCCTAAGCAGTGGCACGAGAAGTTTGACCATGCGATGTTAACTAATGGGTTTAAAATAAACAAAAGGGTGACAAATGTGTCTACGTTAAGAAAACGATAGAAGGCTATGTCATTCTTTGTTTATACGTAGATGATATGCTCATCTTTGGTGGTAACGATAAGATGATCAAGTCTACAAAAAACATGTTAAATGCGAAATTTGACATGAAGGATATGGGTTTGGCTGATTTAATTCTCGGGATTAGAATCATTAGAAGACCTGATGGTCTTGTGTTGAGCCAATCACATTATATTGATAAAATTCTTGAAAAATTTAACAAGGATGATGATCAAAAGACTAGGACGCCATTAGATCGTAGCATTCATCTAACCAAGAACCAAGGAGAGTGTATTTTTCAAGTAGGATACGCTCAGGTTATTGGTAGTTTGATGTATCGTATGAGTTGTACTAGGCCGGATATTGCCTTTGCGATCAGTAAACTCAGTAGATATACGAGTAGCCCCGGTACCATGCACTGAAAGGCAATAGTGAAGGTTATGAGATACTTAAGGTATACTCAGGACCTTGGACTGCACTATGGGAGATATCTTTCTGTACTTGAAGGGTATAGCGACGCTAGCTGGATATCTAATATTAAGGACTCTAAGCCCACGAGTGGCTACGTGTTTACACTAGCCGATGCAACCGTTGCATGGAAATCCTCTAAACAAACCGTGGTAGCTAGATTCACGGAATCTGAGCTGATAGCCTTGGACAAAGGTTGTGAAGAGGCTGAATGGCTACACCATTTTTTAGAGGATATTCCTAATTGGGAAAGACTTGTACCTCCAATATGTGTGCATTGCGATAGTCAAGCCACAATTGGGAGAGTACAGAGTCATATGTATAATGGTAAGTCTAGACATGTGTGTCGTAGACATAATACCATTAGACAACTTCTCGCAACTAGTGTTGTCTTGATTGACTACGTAAAGTCAAAAGACAATATAGCGGATCCGCTAACCAAAGGGTTATGTAAAGAAGTTGTGGAGAAGTTGAAACGAGGAATGGGTCTAAAGCCTTTGGTATAAAGTTCTATAGTGGATACCTAACCTAGCTGGCACCTAAGTTCAATGGGACAACTAAATTATGGAATAGAGCATGTCACTGTGGGGATCTCGGATTCCCTTCCACTCCTCGTTAGAACAGTGGCTCACGCACAAGGTCAGAATGTTGATGCTTTAGTGATTCGAATGTCAGTTGACATGTGTGAGTATGCGGGACACTTGAAAAAGAATCACATATGTGAAAGAGAAGTGAAGGTCGGTTCAAAGGAAAATTAATGGGCACAATTCTTCACAAACTCTTGCAGAACCAGGAATGGTGACCCACGACAGGACACAGTCATGAGAACAGAGCATGGTTGGGAGGTTCCTGTGTGAGATATGTCATCGTCTACACAAACGACAGTCGGTTCAAAGACATCGCGTTCTACCGTACAGACAATAGAGTAAATGTATCTTCACAAGGGAAGGTTTAGTCCCTACCTATCCTATGCAGGGATGGACCGTTGAACACAGTTGTTTCCGGTTTCAAAATACCTTGAAAATTAATTTTTCATTCATGTGAGGGATTGTTGGAAAAAATAGTATAAATTGACATAAATGACATTTTAAGTAGCTATTTTGTGGTACAATTATCAGTGAGGTCCACTTCCAATTTGGGTCGGGTCTTAGTGGATTCAGGTTTTTCGTAGTGAGACGAATAGATTGATATATTATACGCTCAAAACGGATAATAGGTGAATGAGATATTGATTCTCAAAGTTGACCCATTTGAGTTGGAAAAATGAAGGGAAAAAGTGAAGCTTTTGTCCCACATTGGTTTGGAAGTAGATTTGCCCCACTATTTATACAAGAGCTCTTTTAAGGCTTATTGAAAAAATAAGACCGAAAAGGCTTGCTTCAAGCCTAAGCTCGTGTGCGCCCAGTGTACAATAGTATTGATTAGTTCAGTTGATTGTTTGATTGTCCGGTTCAACTCGTGCTAACCACTAACCGAAGATTATTATTTTTGGGGTTTTCCCCCTTATTACCCAACACTAACTTCACACTCAGCAAGCTAAGTTTCTCTGTATAGTATTATGTTACTGTAAAATGTAGTGCTTCAAAATTCACCATTATATTCAATTCCATACAAAAAGAATATTATTTAGCCAAATTAAAGAAACTTGTATATATGACAACAATATAATAAGATGCATGCATGCAGGATCTCGTAGGTTATCGGTAATCCAAAAAAGAAAAGAAATGCACACATGGGCAGTCGAGATTTTAAAAAAATTGATCCTCAATGAAGCTACTTACAAGTATCTGCATTCTGGGGGTAAACCTCTGCATCCTGTGGAAGATCCAAACAAACCAATTGACCTTCCTATCACACCACCTGATACAGAGGAAACAATATCACAGCAAAAAGAGAACCACCCTGCACTGCCTGCAGGTAAACAATATAATCTATTCTCCAACTAGCTTAGATCAGATGCATAATTATTTATACTCAAATTACACACCTATTGCTTTCCTTAACACCTATCTACACATCAATCAATTAAATTCACCTTAATTATTAGCTAGCTTGTAACAAATTATAACATAACATGTAATGTAATGCTACTCATATATTTGTTCTACTACGAACACGTACTACTACAGGTGCAAACAAATATAAGGAGACACCTATATTAGCAGCAGCAAAAATGGGAATCAAAGAGATAGTAGAGAAAATCATCAAAAGATTCCCAACATCTATTTATGATGTGGATCCAAATCAGAAGAATGTCTTACTTTTGGCTGTTGAGAACAGGCAAGTTGCTGTCTTCAATTTCTTACGAAAGCAAACACTCCCAGCATTTGTGTACTATCAAGTGGACAACAAGGGAAACAGCGCAGCGCACCTTGCTGCAATGTACAGTGGTCTAAAATATTGGCAAAGTCCTGGTGATGCATTGCAGATGCAAGGAGAACTCAAATGGTACAAGGTAATTAAATTAAATTAAATTAAAACACTTAAGCTTATTTTTCACAACAACAAAAAAATGGAATTTCATATTTCTCAATATAATATATATAATTTAGGAATAAATTAAAGATCAAATAAGCTACGGATGAACTCAAAAAAACTGCAATTGGGTCCATGAACAATGCAAAATCAAACAATTGAACCAAACACGATTTCCTGTTAGTTGCTAACGTGGCGGTTATCAAATTAAAATAATAAAGTATTTTAAATTTTATTTTAATAATTTAATTTTTTTTTAAAAGAAACATGTGGCTTCGTCTCCGGGCTGTCAGAGATAGAGCCGTCAAAATGGATTTTTCCCGTAGGGTCAACCCGTCCTATTCTGCCGTAGGTAGGGGGCGGGTTCATCAAATGTTCAACCCACCAAGAGGCGGGCTAAACTGCCTGGGTCACGGGCCTAGGCGGGATGCGGGTTTAGCCCGCGGCCTACTACTATAAAAAAAAAAAAATTAAAACTTAATTTAGTAGCTTAGGCGCATCAAAGCTTGGGCTACGTTTTGGAGTTCTTCTACTCTAAATATAAGAAAACTTTGAACATAAAAGTTGTAGTAGCACTCTCTTAGCTTTCCATAGCAACTTCAATTACTTGAATTGGACATTATATGAAGGAGATATGATCAAAACAATATCAACATGTTACAGGACAAATTCCTCAGGATGTGTCCGAACGAATGTTCTGATTTTCTGGTATCAATGTATCTGGAATCTCATAAAGTGTTCAACATTAAAGTTGTAGATGAATTTCTTATCTTTTCATTGATACTTGAATCATCTCAATTGAACTCCGTATGAGAAAAATATGGCCAAAATACTCTAGAATGTCGCCAAAAAAAATGTTTGGCAGGCTTTGGCATGATGGGGGTGGGCCGGCCACCTTCCAACCCTGCCAAAAGGTGGGCTTTTTAGGCCGTCCCGCTATAGGGGTGAGCTTTGACCCATCCCATCCCCGCGGAACCGTTTTGATGGCTCTACATGTTTATGTCGAAAACGAAGATCCGGCCGGGTGTAAACGAAGCCACATTTTTTTAATTTAAAATTATTAAAATAAAATTAAAAAAAAAATTAATTTGGTAACCACTATGTCAGGTAAACATGGCACTTTTGATTTAACTGCTTGATTTTGAGTTGTTGAGAACCGAATTATAGTTGATTTGAGTTGGATAACTCAATTACAATTTTGTATGTAATTCAATGACGGGTCTATTTGATCTTTACTTTTATAATATATATATGAGATGCAGTATGTGAGGAGTTACCTGCCACGAGAATCCTGTGTTCGTTACAACAATGAAGGGCAGTCTCCAGCAGATGTGTTTTTAGACACACATGCTAATCTAACTAAACTTGGCACCACATGGCTCAGCAAGACCTCGGAATCATGCTCCGTCATCGCAGCACTGATTGCATCTGTGGCATTTGCCGCATCAACAACCGTCCCTGGTGGGCTGAATCAAACCACTGGCTATCCAATTCTTGAAGGGCAACCCGTGTTTAGTGCATTTGCATTGTCATCACTCATAGCTTTCTGCTTCTCGATCCTTGCCCTCATTTTCTTCCTCGCAATCCTCAATTCGCGGTGCCAACAAAAGGATTTCAAAACAAATCTCCCAATAAAGCTGCTATATGGACTCACTTTCCTCTTCACATCCATAGCTGCTATCTTGGTCGCCTTCTGTGCCGGTCATTCTTTTGTTATCAAGAGTAAACTCAAACTTGTGACATTTCCTATATACGGAGTAGTGTGCTTACCAATCATAATTTTTGTCTCCAATGGGCTCCTGTTGTACCTCGATCTTTTCATGTCTATCGTCCAAGTAGTGCATTTTCGCAACTTCAGAGTTTCCTATACCGGCAAGCCACCTAAGGACAACAAAGACTCCTCAACTTCAAAGGATCAGTAGCACAACACAATTAAGATAAAACTAAGGAGACACAAGCTAAGTGTGTTTCTATGAGTGATTTTCTTAACTAGAATAAGCTAGCAAGCTAAGGTTTGTCCAAACTTGAATTTTCTATTTCATCCTGGCCGGGCCCGTTAATGTAATGTGTTGGATATTTTAGCATAAATGGCAATTTATAAGTGGTTATTTTGTGGTACAAATATATATGGGTCCACTTTTGATTTGGGTTATGTCAAAATCGATTCGGGTTTTTCGTAGTAAGACGAAGAAATTGATAAATTGTATGCTGAAAATGAGTATTAGGTGAATGAGAAATTGATTGTCAAAGTAAATCTATTTGAGAGAAGTCAAACGTTACGATGCACCTTCGGATGCTCTCCGATCGAAGAGTAAACTTAAGGTGCTTGTTGCACCTTAAAAAAAGGTGCACATGCAGTAGTCACCTAGAGTGCTTATCTTAGCACTTATGAGAAGCGCTAAGTTGATTAGCACTTACGAAGAGTGCTAGATAATTGGCATAGTGCGTGGAAATTAGCACTTTATGGTAGATGCTAATTGTGCACCTTAATTACATAAAGAGTTATGAAAATAGCACCGAATGGTGCTAGGTTGTAGTACTCTTCAAAAGGTGCTAAGCAATTTGATGTTTTGACTGTTCGGATAATTCTGAATGGTCTGAATGGATAATGTAACCGAGAAGCAAACGTACCTTCCGATCACTGGCGAGAGTCTACTTCTCAACCTAGTCAAGAAGTAAGTTGATTTCTCGGAGTCACTAAAAAGTCTTTTTACTTTTCGGGTAATCCACTTCTCATACGTAACCTTCAGGGTACCTTTCGAGTAACCTCTCAGATGTACGTCTTCAAGTGTCCACGATAGCATCGGTAGTGTTAAGTGTATTTGCTAAAGAGAAAAAACAATGTCATTGATAAATTTATTCTTATAAGAAAAAAGTGGAAAACCAACTTAATCGTAGAATTAAGACGGTTAGAAGATACCGTTGTGGTGAATATGTGATTTCTGCACAAGCGTTGGTATTGTACTTGAGCGTACAACACGTCATTCACCTCAATCGAACGGTGTTGTCGAACATATATAAATTGGTTCGGTGCAATGTTAATCAGTTCATCGGTGCAATGTTAGTCAGTTCATCGGTGCAATGTTAATCAGTTCATTGGTTAGGAGCTAATGGCCAACGGGCATCCACTTCACAACAGTAACATATATAGTAATCTGATCAATTGCTTTGAATTAATAAAAGTGAAATAATAAAGTTGTGATCTCTAGCATAGTAATCAAATCAAATGCTTTTGGATTAATAAAAGTGAAATAATAAAGTTTTAATTGGTAACATAGCATGCAATGCATTTTGAAAATCGCGGAGGTCCTACGTACAACACTGTATGCTAGAGCAAGAACACAAATTAAAATAGCATGATGGTGAAATAACAGCATTAGAGTTAAAAACATGTCTACCATAGTAATCTAATCAATTGCTGTGAGTAGAAGTGAAAGAGAAACTGAAGTGAAAGGCAACTGGTGACTATAAAACAAGAATACTGCCAATACAAATACAAACACACACATTGGATATCCCAAAACCACCACCTAAAATGAATTGTGTTAGTCATGTTTCAGTTGGTAATTTGACTAATTTCCCAAAGAATCCAAAACGAAATCATGGATCATAACTGTATCATCAATCATAAATCATATCAATCATCATCATAATGGTGGGGAGGTAGGACTTCACCATACATGAACGAACCTATACAGGCACGGTTACGCATAACCGGCCTAATCTCAATCTCATCACAAAACATATACATAATGAAATCAAGACTGTACCTTAAGTGTGTACACCCTCTAACTGGGATTCCAAGCCCAGCGAGTAGTATATAAGCCCTACTAGCCCAGGATTTTTCGACCAAGCTACTTCAAACTGTCCGGGAATTTTCGACCAGACCAACTTCTATTTACTTCCGAGGGAGCAATGCTCCCACGGGACCTCCAAAAATATACTTTCTCACACGTTTGAAAAATATAAGTAGTGTAGCACTTTAAAATCGATATTTCTAAAAATTGTTTCCATACTTGATTTTTATTCATAAATAGAATATAGATATATCATTTGAAAATAGGGAAAGGGATAGATGATGGAAATAGAAGTTGTATTTGGTAAAAGATGGAAAGTCATTTATGCAAGCAATGCCATTACTAAATGAATATAATACATGTATACTTTTTAAAGAGGGAATAATAATATAAGGGTATGTTTTCAAAACAATGGTTGATCAATGGCATAAAAATCATAAGTTCGAGAAAATGAAGCTAATAAATCAATAATGCCCTAATACGATGAATAGATGCTCACATACTTTAAATACACAGAAGTACGACCAAACATCACGATCAACCTTACTATTATCCCTACCGAACATATACTCCATCACATTAAACACAAAACTCACGCACATTAAGCATAAAACCCATGCACTTTAAAGTTTCAACAACAACTCACATTAAGTACACACTCGCACATTAAATAC